ACCCATCATGTAGCTCAAACTTATCTTCGGTTGTGTAGCTCGAACTTACCTTCCATTATGTAGCTCAAACTTATCATGCACCAATTAGCTCAAATAGGTTATGGTAGCTCGAGTATCATTGGAATAGCTTCTATGGGTGGACCTACCGAGGTAGATATGGCGGACCTACGGATAGTAGAACATGAAGACTTATTGGGGATGTATTTGGCCGAGCTATGGGTAAGTGTATACGAAAACTTACTGAGTGTGTGCGGCTTGACCTACAAACACTCGGTAAGGACTCGGGGAGGTGTACTAGCAAGATGACCTATGGATACTAAGATGGGAAGATCTATTGATATGGGGCACACGTATGGTTGTCCGAGAAGGATCTAAATGCTCCTACAGATAAGAATGAGTCTCGGGCAGACCTAGGAGTAGCAAAGTAACTGCCAGGCAAACCCTTCATGTAGTCCGAGCACTCAGGCAAGCCTTCGGGCAAACACGTAGGTAAAGAATGTTAGACAAACCAATGATTCACTATAAATAGGTGAGAAGCATTAAAGGTAAAAGATTAATCACATTCTACACTCTCAATATTATTGCTTACATTTACATGCAGCCTTCCATAGCCTTTTATTGACTTCATCGTCCAAGGTTTTACCCGAAAGCTTGCATAATTTGCAAGACGTTGGGGAGCAAATCAGTTTAAGGACATCAATCTGGTATGCCCAATTTTAATTATACAATACAACGCAATGAAAGCTATGAATTCAAGTGGTATTCCGGTGCAAATACTACTTTCTCATATCTATAAACCAACAGCCAAAGTTCTAGTTCATACAAAAACAATAATGAAAAAAAAAATAAAAAAATCTAGAACCTCAAAACCCTCAACTTTCCCCATACATTCTTTTTCCTTATAATAGAATAAAATTATGCTAATGTAAGAGAAAAAATATGAATTTTGTGTGTTTCTTTCTGTATCCCGAGCTCAAAAGCCAAATGTAGACTTTGGTCAACATAAGATATGCTCTAGTACATTGGTCAACATCAGTTGTAAGATTTGAGATGGAAAATTTGACAGTTAGGTGTGTACGACTTCTTTTCTGCAGCTTGCTCAAACTTCTTGACGACAACTTCATTTTCCTCTAAGCTCATCTGAACAAAATATCTAACCCACCAAGTCGAGCTCCTTAACTTAGCCTATCATACAGAACACACAATAAAAAATTATTTGCACTCTAATGATCATATACAATGCTTTGTTTTTTCTCCATTATTATTTATCGGCATGAATGTTAGTGTAACTAGGGAGACATGAGAGAGAGAACAGATCACTTACTGAACGTCCATATTTAGCTTTATCAACGGCCTTGGCTTTCTGGTGACGTGGATATCCTAAAAAATCGTGCAACGCAAATTTTAATAAACATAAACATTTAAAAGTGTCATCTAACAAGTTACGAACTGTTCTTTTTCCCCGAGCTATTGGTGTTTCTGGAACATCAATCGATAA